AATAATATACCCCGAGTTTTTTCTCGTCAATTGTCGACGGCCTCGATTCGTATAAGTACGACCTTCGTTCTCTCTTTACCGCAGAGTTAAAAAAGGCTTGCGTTCGTAGCCCTTATACCCGTATAGAGCCGGTGTGTTTGCAGAGCGCTATCGAAGGCGCTATACTGTGTCTTCAATCAATCGAAACGAAAAACCTTCTTACCTCTTACACCCGTTCCCTCTCTATCGCGGATCCTCTGAGTCTTTCCAGTCGGCATGCTCGTCAGGTACAGATCGTAGTCGGCGTGGTGGTCGAAGGAGGGAAGGAGGTCCGGAAGCGCCGGTAAAGGAAGATCTCTTCGAGAGCCGCCGCAATCTCGATGATTGGATTTAGGCTCTCCAGACTCCTTTGCCGCAAGAGAGAGATGAAGGTTCGTAGGAGACACCTCGTAGTATAGGTATAGGATCGTAGCCTCCTAATTTGCGGAGTGTAAAAAGTGGAAATAGCTGGCTCTTACGTAGGCGGCGATAAGTAATAATAAAGTTGAGCGACGACGATGTTTGTTCACGGGTGCAATAGTAGGTATTAAGCTGCGATGAGAATAAGTTAGGATTTGACAACAAATACCGGTAGTACCACGGTACAGGCGTAATTGTTACACCCTTGAGGGTACCTAGGGTAATCAGGGAATTTAAAGTGGAAACTAAACTTTTGAGGCACCCTCGAAGGGTAACACTGGTAGTACTTAGGCCTGTACCGTGGTAGTAGGTAATTAGACGTAAGAGCGGATTAGCCTCGGCGTCTTCGATACCGGTATACCGGACCTGAGCTCAAAGTATTGACTGTATATAAATAAAGGATTCGATCCAACTCGGACCTATTCCGACCTATTACTAATCAAAGCGAGCTTGCGAAGCTTTGTGTTACCGGAGAGCTCCTTCCCCTATAAGGGGGAATGTGGCCTCATGAAAAAATGCAAATAGCCTTTTTTAGCGAATGGAACTGATTGGTCAGTTAAAAAGTGCGCGTGGTGACGGGAGGCAGAATCCCAAAATGGCAGACAACGTGCTTGAAGTACCGGTACTAACAATTGAAGACTAAAGATTTCGAATATCAAATCATTCAAACAAATACGCCTCTTTAAATTCTGTGAACTCTCAATTCCGCGTATGTACCTTGGTAGGTGCACTCCCAAGCTCGCTTTGATATTACGTAAGCTGCTTGCCATTTACGTCAACTTACTTGATACAAGTACATCTGTGCTCCGTATACCGTACGTCGATCTTTTCAATACACAATCCCAATAAAAAAAAAAAGGAAATTTGCAATACTATAAATAGTTAGCTAAGCGTGTAGTTGAAATCTCGATTTTATTTTTAATCGTCGGTTAGTGAACCTTAAATTCCATTGAAAAAAAAAAAAAAAAAAAAACTCCCCGTCGGCCTGTGTCGGCACCATCGATCCGGAACACCTAAACAGGTAGGCACCTTTGCCCTTGTAGAATCGATAGAAAATCCACCAGCTAGGTATCATATCGTCAATATTTATGTAGGAAAATTAGGGTTGGCATAATCATTGATTGATTGATTGGTGGTACCCCTTGCACAAGAGTCCTGTCAAGGGAAACCTCTACAGGTAGAATTGCGCTCAGACCGGTTTTGTACATTATTTCGGGCGTGTACCAAGTACTACTGGATCAAAATTTGTAGGGCTTATATTAAAAGTCGTAATTTGATATGTGTTCCTGGTGGCTGATGCCGACCTGGCGGGATTTTTTACGTCAATAATCGATCCAACCGACGATGAAAATGAAAGTGAGAAAGAAGGTCAATCAATATGTTGGCCCCACCATTTATTTATAGTCGACGTAGAAACATCAGATACCCGTTACGAATATTGGTATACGGTACTAGTATACTAGTAAGTTAGTATATGAGTATAATAGTATGGTAATATAGTAGTACTACGTATGTTGGTATCTTGGTGTACTAATATAGTATACTAATCTTTGGTATACTAATATTAGTAAAATGAATAGGGCGCAAGAGATCCTTTCTAGATTCCTTTTTGCACCTGCTTATATTTAAAGCATGCCATCAGCTTCTTTACCAGCACCTCCTTTCCACCACGCTCCTTTCCACCACGCTCTTTACCGTCACGCTCACTACCATCACGCTCGCTACCATCACGCTCGCTACCATCACGCTCACTATCATCTTTTGCTTGTGCAAGTTTATTTCTTCTCGTTAGCTCGCACTATCCAAAGCCTTATCAACCTCAATACCGAAATTCTAACACGATGCCATCATCGCAATCCATTTGCTCGATCTTGCTGGCCTTTGGCCTTCTCTTCCATGTAGCTTATGGAAGTGGTATATCTGCAAGGGAAGATACACGGTCAATAGAAGTTATCGGTTATCGAACCGTTTCTAGCGTAAGTTATACTTGATTTTATATAATAAAAGCTTATATTAATCTCGCGAATGATAGACGGAAGCCAGTATGGTGAGCCGGTACCACAGGGTTTCCACAGGTAGTTACGAGTTGACCGACCGCAACCAAATAGGAAACGGCCTCTATCTCGGTAAGTTGATTACTAGATCTTCGTTTGTTACGCGGAGTTAACAATCTGCGTAGTAAACAAACATCCTGGTTGGAGTACGAAAGAGAATGATGACACATGGTTTTGTTCCATCAGCGCGAACTCCAAAGCGTATAAAGACGCCACCAAAGTATGGATCCCAAGGAAAGCAAAGAGCGCTGCGAGCCGGCGACGAGAGGTATTATGGTTCCAAGATGAAAAAGTTATCCTCAATTATATTACGTCAAAGGCGCCCGGATCCCCGGGGAAGGCAGTACGCTTTTCATATATTCCAAACACCTTTGGAGATTGGCAAATGGTTATCCCAGATGAATTGATAGAGAGCGACGAATTAGGACTATCGATGACATGCTTCGATTCAAAGAGGAAGCTCAAAGATTATTCAATCAAACCATACCAGGAATGGAAGGGATTGGGTATTATTGGAGGTCCTAATTCCAAGAAGTGGTTTTCTCGGTGGCGTTCGTCTTAAGCACTAGCATCGGTGAGCTAGAAGAAATGAGAGGTGAGAAGGGAAGAGCTAGAAGGACGGATGGAAGGAAGAAAGGAAGCAAGAGAGAGAGAGAGAGGAGGGAGAGGGAGGGGGGAGGAGGGAGGGAGGTGGCAAAGGAAAAGATTGTCAGATCTAGACTGTATTCGAGACTTGGGATTTGAGAAAGAAAGGAAGGCAGAAGTAGATAGAGCGATCTAATTAATCTAAAGCACACGAATAGATTGATAATGATCATCATTAATTAGGAGCTATCATATATCGAGAGAGCAGCAAACTGAATGTTCGGAAACAAAAAATGAAGGTATATTAATCACAACTTAACTTATTACATATTTCTTATCCTCGTCGAACTTCGGCCTCATTCCTCTCTTTCATAGCTTCTGAGTTATACCCTTCCGAGCCCTTATAGCCTCTGCTACTCTCCTCCTCCTCCTCCTCCTCCTCCTCTTTTTCGAACTCGAGCTTCCCGACCGGCACGAAGAAGCCAAGCTCGTATATAATAGCGAACTGCGTTGTACGATTAGGCATCTCTTGCGCCTCTTAGAAAGAGATATCAAACATCTAGAATGATTCGAGCAGGTTCACAGCCAGCACGCTGACTTTTATAAAGAGGCATTTGCAGAACAATTACAGTTTATTATCTGATAGCATAATAGCATTTCTGCTTCTATCTCCACGCATCAATGGTATCTACCCTTCAGGCAACAAGCACCTTGCAAGTCCAATAACAATAAATACTAAAACAACTCCTCAAACATTCAACTGCTGTACTCCTGCACTTTTAATGTGTTCCACATAATTCGCTAACCTTTCCATGACCGGCCCCCCTTCCCTACAATACTTCTCCACAATCTCCTCGCTCCTCCCGATAAACAGGCGCGGGTCCAGCAATCCATCAATCTCGGCCCAGATCGGCTCGAAATACTTTGTGCTCTTGATGCGAGCGATCAGATCGTTCTTCCCGCCTTCTTTCTTAACGACGTCGGAGGCTTGGTGGGATAGGACTCGGATCTCTTCGTGGGCTATCTGGCGATCGCCCCCATTGGCGACGATCTTCATAATAATGTTCTCTGTGGCCATGAATGGGAGCTCTTCCATCACGTGAGCGCGGATCTTCTCCTCGTAGACGACCTGCATTTTGTCTTAGTAGGAAGGAAAAGGGGAAGGAAGAGGCGGAGGAGTCTCCCAAGCGGCACGAGACGAGAAGATATTGGTAAGACTTACCAAGCCAGAAGTAACGTTATCCAAGCCAATGAGGATAGCATCAGCGAGCAGCATCATTTCGGGGATATCAATTCTCCGAATGGCGCTATCATCGAGTGTTCTTTCGAACCACTGATCGGCATACGTATCAGCGAAATTCATCGGCAGCGACCTCAGCTTGCGGCCCAGAGAGCAGATTCTTTCCGAGCGCATCGGGTTTCGCTTATACGCCATTGCGCTGGATCCGATCTGGTCCTTCTCAAAAGGTTCCTCGAGCTCTTTCATACTGGCCAGGTGACGGATGTCATTGGTGATATGCATAGCCGTAGAACCGAGACCACAAATGGCATTAGAAATGTCAAGGTCAACCTTCCGAGAGTAAGTTTGAACGGAGATGTCGTACTGCCTGGGGAAACCGGCTTTGGCGCAGAGAATCTCGTTGAGCTTGTCGATTTTAGCCCCGTCGCCATGGAAGATTTCGAGGAATGAGGCCTGGGCTGGGATGCTGGTTAGTGGCTGTCCTGTGGTGGTAGCGCTGGAAATAGGGAGGAGTTGCGGACTTACTGCCAGTAGTGCCCGTGGCACCTCGGAAGAGAAGGTCCCTGCGCTGAGTTTCGATATTCTTGAGATCCATCAACTGCGACATCGTGAGGAAGGATTCGTTAAAATGTGTGGTAAGTGGGAAGAGATGGAAGATGCGCTTCTACAACTTACCAAATCCTGGATCCATTGGGTTGCACGTCGACCAACAGTGATGAGTTGGGCTGCCTGGAAGTGGGTGAAGCCGAGGGTAGGTATGCTGGAACGCGTCAGCACGTGGATCATTCTGGTGATGGCTGAACGAGTCGTCAACTTACGCCTTGTTCTCCAGGGCGAAGACTGAGAGGTTATGAACAACTTTGGCGAGTTTTGGTAGGAGGAGGTCCATGGCATCCCTAGTCAAAAGTCAGCAAAGCTCAGATGTAACGAATGTTATGGGCTAGGCTACCTCATTATTATGAGCTCGGCATTGTCCTGAGCTTAGATTAGCGAGAAACCCCCCTTTACTGACTTGAGAGCCACTCACAGTAACACTGTTAAGAGTCAGTAGCTGCAGCTGCAGAACATTTGGGATTAGGGATGTGTATCTTACTAGCAGGATGTAGCCCCGAGATGAATGATTCCCGCAGCGGCAGGGGCGGCGACTCCGAAGGCATGTACGTGAGCCATCTACCACATCTCATCGTCAGCTATCGTGTCACGTGCCAGACATCCTGTCGCTGCGAAGTGGCAGGGACTGGACTCACCACGTCGTGACGACGTCTCTTCTCCTCCACGGCAGCAATCTCAAAATCCTTGTCGGTGAGCTTCAAGTGCGCCTTCATTTGAGCAATAGCCTCATCGCTGATACCCTCGAGGCCGACTTCCTTCTCAGCCTCGGCCAGCCAGAGCCAAAGCTGGCGCCAAGTAGAATGGCGGTTGCGAGCACCAAAGAGCTTCTTCATCTCATCGCTGCTGTAGCGAGAATCCAAGGGGGTCTAGGATGGTTTGTTAGTTATTGATTGTTGAATGCTGATCGGTCTGAAGGGGAAGGGGTATGGATGGATGCAGGTAACGTGCCTTGTAATTATCGAAGCCTGACATCTTGCGTACGTATGATGAGACGGGCGAGAAAGATGGACACGAGAAAGCCAGAAATGGTCAAAAAACTTGAGAACAGGAAGCTAGGTAGGCCTAAGCCAACGCGTGGAGGTGAGGTTGGCGTGTGTAGCAAAGGTGCTTGGTCAGCTCGTGAGGCTGGAAGCAGAGGGAACTTAGAGGTCAGCTTATGAGGAAGAGAAAGGTATTCGTAGCAAAAGAGGGAGAGGTGAATGGGATAGACGTTGTCGCACGTTAGTGTTGTTAATTCTATATTGTAGTTGTAGTTTGGATAGACAACGCATCCGTAAATATATGATTTATTTAAGAAATATTTAAGAATGTTCAATTGTGCGCGCGGGGGCGATTTATACTGTAATAATAATAAGGTTGCGGGAGCAGCCGTTAGCGTGGCGGCTCGACCTGCTTACCTATGCATAACGCAAGACGCCAGTAACACAACAAATCAACCAATGCAACCAACACGACCTTAACACCTCCCTCTCTGTGCGGCATCTCGGTATCTGATCAAGTCGTGATCGAGCGATCCCTTTCCACTCGACTCGTGTCCGTCACGATGGCCCCCTCTTCGCTGCGCCTCCTACGCTTCTCACGAGTGCCGACTCGTCGTCTCCTGGGCTCGCAATCCCGCCGCCCAGTTGTAGTCTCGCGAACCCTACAGCACTCTCGCCCCGCGTCGACAGCTGCTGCAGACGCCAGCCCCCTCTTCGTCACCCGACTCAAGACCTTGCTCTACGGCGCGTCTCTGTCCCTCTCCGCTATCTTCGGCTACCTGTACATCACCGACACGAGAGCGAGCGTACACCAATGGCTGGTGGTTCCGGCTTTGCGATGGCTCTACCCCGACGCCGAGGACGCGCACCACGCTGGGACCAAAGCTTTAAAGACTGCGTACTCGCTCAACTTACACCCGAGGGAGCGGGCTACGGGCAGGGAAGAAACGAGCCTGAGTGTCATGGTGTTTGGGCAGAGGTTGCAGAATCCAATTGGCACATCTGCGGGTATCGACAAGCTGGCTGAGATCCCGGATGCTTTGTTTGCGTTGGGGCCGGCGATTGTGGAGGTTGGAGGAACCACGCCGCTTCCTCAGGATGGGAACCCGAGACCCAGAGTCTTTAGACTGCCAAGTCGGAACTCGATGATCAATCGTTATGGGTTGAACTCGAAGGGTGCAGATGATATGGCTAAGACTTTACGGGAAAGAGTCCGGGCCTTTGCATTCCGAAACGGGTATGGGATTGGCGATGATGCTGAGGAATTTGTGCTTAATGGAGGTTCTGGCGTTCCTCCGGGGAGCTTGACGGAGGGGAAGATGCTTTTGGTGCAAGTTGCGAAGAACAAGGATACCAAGGACGACGATATTGAGGCTGTGAAGAGTGACTACGTTTACTGCGTGGAGAGGCTAGCACCTTATGCGGATATCTTGGTCGTGAATGTCAGCAGCCCGAATACCCCTGGTTTACGCACACTCCAAAGAGTAGAACCTTTAACTAGGATTCTTGAAGGGGTAGTCGGTGCTGCAAAGGCCACTAAGAGGAAGACTGCGCCAAAGGTAATGGTCAAGGTTTCTCCAGATGAGGACCACGATGAGCAGATTGAGGGTATTGTGGAGGCTATCTGGAAGAGTGGCGTTGATGGTGTGATAGTTGGAAACACCACGAACCGAAGGGACAATATATTGCCCCAGGACCTACCCTTGACGTCAAAAGAGAAGGAGATTCTAAGCGAGAAGGGAGGTTTGTCTGGTCCGCACATGTTCGACAGGACTTTGAGCTTGGTCAAGAGATACAGACAACTTCTCGACCAAGGGCCTCCTCCACCGCCTGAGCCAAAGAAGGAGAACAAGACCACCAAACCGGTAGGTCCCAACATCGCCGAGAAAATGGACCCTACGAAAGGAACAGTCACCGAAGCCGTCTCAGCTGCAGTGAGGGGCGCAAAAGACCGTACGGGCGACCATTCGCGTGAGCAAAAAGTCATCTTCGCTACAGGTGGTATTACGAACGGGAAGCAGGCTCTCGAGATCTTGAACGCCGGGGCGAATGTCGCGCAGGTGTATACGGCGCTGGTTTATGGGGGATCGGGCACGATCACGAGGATCAAGAAGGAGATGAAGGAGGAGATTGCAAACAAGTAGATGCAGTAACCAGTACCGTTCCGTGCTCCACCTTCGTACAGGATCTTGCACCATACTTTAAGAGCAACACGACCTTACGAGCTCCTACCATTTATATAGTAGTGGTCCGTGCCCTGGCCTCCACCAAATTCACCCCACGACATATACGGAATAATAGTAATCCCGCTCATGGTCCGTGCGTCCAACTAGCGCGCCGCTCTCTCTCAGGCCCCACGACAAGGCTGGAACAATTTTCGAAATTTAATTCTTCATCTGTGGATTCGCGGAACACACGTCTTCATTTTACTTACGATCACTCAATCCACTCCAAGTAAGTATTTTGATGGATGAATGCTCATACCTAGTTGTCTATCACTAACCTCTTACCACACAGAACCTCACCCTATCTTTCAATCTCAACCCCACCAACCCCCTCGCGATTACCATCACCACAAGATGGACCGCACAGTTGGACTTCTTGGAGGCGGCCAACTTGGCCAAATGCTCTGCGAGGCGGCAAACCCTCTGGGTATCAATGTCGTCATTCTCGATACGGAAAACTCGCCCGCGAAGCAAGTCAATGCGAGAACCCCCCACGTCAATGGCTCGTTCATCGATGCAGAGAAGATCCGCGAGCTTGCTCGCCAGGTCGATATTTTGACGATCGAGATTGAGCATGTTGACACGCATATTCTTGAGGAAGTTGCAGAGAGGGGCGTCGAAACCGTAGCCGAGGACGGCCGGAGGACGACGAAAAAGGTTGAGGTGCAGCCGAGTTGGAGGACGCTGCGGATGATCCAGGATAAATACCTGCAAAAGCACCATCTGGCGAAAGCCGGTGTTCAGACTGTCATCTCGAAAGATGTTGGGTCAAATGAAGAGGACTTGCGAGCTTTTGGAGACATGCACGGATATCCGTTCATGCTCAAGGCGAGGAAGGACGCCTACGATGGAAGAGGGAATTGCCCAGTAAAGTCAGCTGAGGGTATTCAGGAGGCACTGCAAGTTCTCAAGGGCCGGGGCTTGTATGCAGAGAAGTGGGCGAATTTCAGGATGGAGCTGGCCGTCATGGTCGTCAAAACCGAGGATGGCCTTTCGACGGAAGGGACAGGGACTGTGGTGTACCCAGCCGTAGAAACCATCCATGAGGATAGCATATGCAAATTGGTATATGCGCCAGCCCGCGGGGTTTCCGCGACGATACGAGAGAAAGCCCAGGCTCTGGCTCGCAAAGCAGTTGGCAGTCTGTGGGGCAAGGGTGTATTTGGTGTAGAGTTGTTTTTGATGCAAGACGGTAGTGTCTCTTCCATAAAGCTCTTTTGGATCTTGACTAACGTGCTTCAGATACGCTCGTCGTCAATGAAATTGCACCGTAAGTACAGTTCTTACTTTCACTGTACCAAGATACTGACGATCCCAGTCGGCCACACAACTCTGGGCACTACACCATCGAAGCCTGCCCAACGATGTCCCAGTACAAAGCGCAACTCCTCTCCATCCTCGGCGTCATGCCCTCCATAACTCAAATCCCCTCCATGTTCCCAGCAACGATCATGCTGAACATCCTGGGCGGCGCCTCCAAATCTGCTCACGACGAGTTGACGAGGAAAGCTGTAGCTATTCCTACAGCAGCGTTACACATGTACGGCAAGGAATCAAAACCAGCCCGGAAAATTGGACACATCACTATTGTCTCGACATCAATGTCCCAATGTCAGCAGCCCTCTTGATTTTATCACTCAACTTGTCTGTATTGACTTCCGTAGGCGAGAACCTGATGAAACCCCTTATCACACTTGCCAATGCCATGCGTGCAGCGCGCAAGAACATCTCATCGCCCATATCCTCCACTACAGCTGCAGCCCCCGAGCAACCTCTGGTGGCAGTGACCATGGGCTCTGATTCCGATCTCCCGATCTTGAAGCCCGGCATTGCACTATTGAAGGCCCTCGGCATCCCATATCTCGTCACGATCACTTCGGCGCATCGCACCCCCCACCGAATGATTGAATTTGCCGAGACCGCTGCAGATAAGGGTTTCAAGGTTATCATTGCTGCTGCTGGCGGCGCGGCGCATCTTCCTGGCATGGTCGCCTCGTCTACTCAGCTGCCAGGTCAGTGAAGTCTTCTCTCCCCACCCGTCCCGCCCAAAAAGAAGTAGAAGGAGGAGAAGAAGGGTACCAGGAGAAATGTTTGTGAATCAAGGTTGCTAATACGTGCGGCAGTCATCGGTGTGCCCGTCAAGTGTAGCACCTTAGACGGCATGGACAGTTTGCTAAGCATTGTTCAAATGCCACGCGGGGTTCCTGTCGCTACAATGGCGATCAATAACTCGGTACGTTCTCATAATCTATTGCAATTTTTTATTTTGCGAGCATCATTCTCATGGGCTGTGAATACTGACAAAACCCGATCGATCAGATCAACGCCGCCCTTCTCGCCGCCAGGATTCTCGCTACAAACGATTCGATCTTGCAAGGCAAACTGGAGAAATATACAGAGAAGATGAGCGACGAAGTAGTGGAAAAGGCGACGCGCTTAGAAACGATTGGAGCGGAGAGTTATTAGACTTTGTTTTTTACAGTGTAATTTCCGTCGATCTTTATGATACCAATAGAACAAGTAGTAGTAGTACCTAGTAGTACTCACGTGGGGTGGTTTTACAAAACGCAATGCTCGGACCCTGGGAGCTCCTGTAAGGTACGGCGACGTGCTAAGTGGAGGGATTGTACATAAAATACTGTCCAATCGAGAGTAAAAACCATAATCAGCGTAATAATCAGAAAAAGAAAACAAAAACGAGGTTCGGAATCGTCGATAAAGAAAATCTCTTCGAATAGACACCGCATATCGGCGATTTAATTTCGACTCTTTAAAATCTTTGCCGCAAGAGAAAGCTATAGGTTCGTAAGAAGCACCTAGTACAAGTAAAGAATCGTAGTATCTTACAGTACCTATGATATCAATAGAGAGTTATGCAAATGTTAATTACTTGGCTAGCTTCTCTTATCGGCGATAACGATATGCCTCGGCTTGTCTGCCACGTTCACAATCATCCATAGATCAAGAAAACAACAGCAACAACAGCAACCAAAAAAATCCCCAGCCATCCTTCAATATGGAGTTCATGACTGCGCTCCACTCGACCTTTGATGAACACAAACCATCCTTGTTCGAGCTTCTCTCCGAAGCTCAGCTCGCCTCCCTCATACCCCCTTCTCTCCGCTACCTTCTAGCCGTTGCGACTCACCGGCATCCTAGATACCTCCTACGCGTCCTCAACTCCTTCGATGAGCTCTACGCTGTGCTCATGCTCTTGGTTGAGCGGCACTACCTCAAGACCCATGGCGGTGGCTTTACTGAGAATTTCTACGGCCTGAAGCGCGAGAAAGCACTTTCGGTGGGCGAAATCCCACGCGCAAACATGGCCGCGCCAGCACACGTCCGCGCAGCTCTCACCCTGTCGAAGATGGATATATGGAAGAACTTGGCGGTGATGGTGGGTCTGCCATATCTGAAGCGCAAGCTGGATGAGAGTTACGACGTAAATGCGCCGAGAGCGTTGTTGGGAGCAAGCTACACCCGCATGCCTCCGAACCCCACGTTGAAGCAGAGGTTTATGCATTACTACCGATGGTTCCTGAGGCATGTGTACCCGAGTGTCAATGCGGCATATTACTTTTCACTGTTGGCATTTAACATTGCGTATTTGTTCGATAACAGCAAATACCATTCGCCATTCATGTGGTTGATCGGGACGAGGATGAGGAGGCTGGGAGAGGCAGATTATAGGGCCATTGCTGCCTTGGGCGAGCCTAATACTGGAGCCGCTGGTAGTAATCTGGGAGTCACGAGCATATTCAGTCCCAGGATAATGGGTGACAGGTTGCTGGCCAGTTTGAAGATATTGTTGCCGACAAGCATATTTGCGTTGAAGTTTCTGGAGTGGTGGCACGCATCCGACTTTGCGAGACAATTGTCCAAAAAGGCAGCTGAAGGGATTGAGCTGCCCCCGCCAGTGATTTCCGGACTTTCTGCCCTCTCCGTGCGGTTCGGTCCTGGCAGCAAGAAGAATGGTGCCCCTGCGACGGAGAAGGGGCCACAGGGAGAAGATGAAAGAGAGGAGCCCAAGCTCGAGAAGCCGCCCATCGCAGCAACATCCTTGCTGCCAATACACACAGTGCCTCCCCCGCAGGATTCGGGACTATGTCCAATCTGCCAGGAAGAAATCACCACAGCGACTGCGTGTCAGACGGGATTTGTATACTGCTACACTTGTATCCATAGATGGCTGGAAGGGAACCACGACAAGCAAGAAGACTTGAGGAAAGGGAGCGGAAGCAAATGGGAGGATGGTAAAGGCAGGTGTGCAGTCACTGGGAGGAGGGTTCTGGGAGGAACGGAAGGCTTGAGGCGTGTCATGATATGATACCTAAATGCCATGTTCCAACCGAGCAGACGCGGATTCCAATCCTGTTGCGACCGATGGCAGGTTGCCTCGTGATCTCTCCCTCTCACATCTGTTTTACCATATCTTCAAGTAGGATTGGCTACCTCCTGGGTATCCTGCTCTGCAGTAGAAGGTGTTCTCTTCTACCTCTATCAGCCTTGCAACTTTGCTTCCGTCTCTTTTCGCTTCTACTTCTTCTCCTCTTGCCCAGCTTTTCATTCCTTACCTACTCCAACTACAAGGTCCGTGGCTGTCTGATAGCGTGATGAACCGTCATGCGACGGCGAGCTGATGCATCTCTTCCCTAGGTTGATGGCTCCTAATTCTCTCTCTCTCGCTGCCAACGCGATTTCCGGGCACAGCTGTGCAACGGCTGTCGTTCGCTTCGGCGCGCCGATATGTACTTTGTGGAAGGAACCCACAGGGCTCCTTGAACATGCCCTTGTGCACACCTGTCCATGTTCGACCGCACTACCAGTGAGTAGTTAGTAGAAAGGCTGCTCCCAAGGCAAGCTCACCTGAGAGACGGGGACATGTCGAGCTGGAGCCAGCTGCTCCCAGAACTCCAGGCAAGGGCGGGACAGGTACAGATAGATTCACGGCATTACGGTGGATCAGGTCGGTGTCATCCGGGACCATGCGGATCTCGATCTTTTTATATATCGGCGCGGGCACGTTACCAACTAGCAGACCTGTTCGGCGCGGGCGAAAAGTGCTCGTTAAGATGATCCTCAGAGGCGTAGAAGACCACGGGCCATTCGGGACCGAGGACCGTGTTTGGTAGTGCAGGATGAGTGGAATGAGGCGCGGATAGGTCGAGGAATTGAATGATGTTCAAGTACATCACCTACTGTATCCCTGTTGCTGGCGAATCTCCACCACATGTTAGTATAGCTAGCTGACTTCGAAACGGGATGGACGTGGGAACCGGTTTGTCGAGGCCGTTAGACTTAGATCCAAACTTTATATCTGTCTGGTTCAAGACGCATTGCTCTCGGTAAGACATCAAACCTTGGCCGGATCAGACAGGAATACAAGATATATTTCCAACGGGTCCGATCGCGACGTTAGATGCCTTCGTTCTCCTGCACGTGTTCGATACCGCCGTACTGTCAGGGTAGTTATAGACCATGGAGCAGTCGTGCACGGCTACATCTGTCGCGAAGATGTGGAATCACCTGCGCCGTAAATTTTCACGCGCTCGAAATGGCAGAACAGCGTGGTCGGTACCGAGACCGTGACCCTTTTCTTTCTCTGCGTCTTTGCTTTTGTTGACTCTGCTCAGATTAGCGAGGGTCGAGACGAGCACGTGTTGGAATTGGCACGGGAGAGTCTTTTGCCGTCGCTCGGGTCCCGAGCCGACGCGCCCAAAGCTTCCGATGTACCGGTATTAATCCCGCCCATATTCATGAAGTGTGCGGACTCCCTGCTCTTTGTCTCTCCTTGCTACTCAATCTCTCTGTTTTTGCTGCTGTGTATGCTACTACTACTCTAGCCTCCAGAGTCGCATCTGAACAATCAATTAATTAATATATCTATCTACCTATCTATATATCAACCGCAAGCTCAGCCGTCTTCACAATGTCGGGTCCAGTCCGGAAAGGCCTCTCTAACATTCTCAGAAAGGAGGCCAACGATATAGTCATCTTGTCCTCCCTCCGAACACCTATCACCCGCTCCTACAAAGGCCAGCTCAAAGACGCCTACCCCGAAGAATTGCTCGCCACAGTGCTCCGCGCAACGCTCGCAGCAAATCCCAACCTCGATCCTGCGCTGATCCAGGATGTCGGCGTGGGTGTTGTTCTCTCCGAACTCGGTGGCTCGAAAGCAGGGCGGATGGCCATGAATCACATCGGGATCCCTACGACGACCTCCTTCTACACTACGAATCGAGCTTGCAGTTCCGGGCTCAGCGCCATCACGAATGTTTCCCATCAGATTGCCACTGGCATGATTGACGTTGGGATTGGGGCTGGGATGGAGAGCATGACGCGGAACTACGGCTCGAAGGCGATCCCAACTGTTCTCTGGCCAGAACTCCAGAACAGCGAGGTTCAGGATGCGAAGGATTGTATCATGCCCATGGGCTTGACAAGCGAGAACGTTGCCGAGAGATACGGTGTCAACCGGGCGGACCAGGATGCTTTTGCAGTTGCGTCGCACCAGAGAGCCGCGAAGGCTCAGCAGGAAGGTTTGTTTGACAAGGAAATTGTGCCCGTACATACCCGATACCAGGAGGTGGTGAAGGGAGAGAAGGTGGGAGAGATGCAAGACGTTACCGTGTCGAAGGATGACGGGATCAGGTTCAATGCCAGTTTCGAGGGTATGCAGAAGCTGAAGCCGGCTTTCAAGGAAGATGGAACATCAACCGCTGGAAACTCTTCCCAAATCTCGGACGGAGCCGCCGCGACGCTGCTGATGCGTCGGAGCACCGCGACCGAGCTCGGCTTGACAGCATCGATCATTGGGAGGTGGGCTGGCACACAGGTGGCCGGCTGCAGACCCGACCAGATGGGAATCGGGCCTGCTGTCGCGATTCCCAAACTCTTGGAGTGCACCGGCTTGAAGACCGACGACGTTGGCATCTGGGAGATCAACGAGGCATTTGCTAGCCAGGCGATCTACTGCTTGCGGGAATTGGGCCTGGAGAAGCGCCTGGAGGAAGGGAGGGTGAATCCTAAAGGTGGTGCTATTGCATTGGGTCACCCACTCGGGGCGACTGGTGCACGCATGGTGGCTGGCTTGTTGCCCGAGCTGGAGAGGCAAGGGCTGGAGACCGGAGTGGTGTCTATGTGTATCGGTACGGGCATGGGAATGGCCGGCTTGTTCGTCAGGGAATAAGTGAATGAATGCATATATCAACGAATGAAGAAAAGAATGAGACGAAAAGAATGAGAAGAGGGAGAGCGAGGCGTTACGAAGAAGCTACGTAGTATACACCGGTACTCGGTCCAAGTAGCAGCTTGGTGGCTTCTTCGCTTGACCCTCGTTTGCATTGTTTGTTTTTGTTTTGTTTACTTGTAGTGATTAGTTGGTAGAATTCGGCGCCGCTCGGGCTCGGGCTCAGACTCGGGCCACAACGGCGAGGATAGGGATAAGGATAATGGGGAAAGGGAGGGATAAGGGACAAGGGATAAGTGATAAGGGATAAGGGATAAGGGATAGATAGATACTTAGATACCGGTAGCTAGAAGTATAGGTGCCGGTAGTAAGTAGCACTTGAGGGATACTGATACCGGTAGGTACTTAAAGGCTCCCAGTTGATCATGTGCCCTTCCTTAATCGTTCAGCCAACCAGTGTCGCAGGTCTTATCAGTACTGGGTTGGGTGGCTACAGACAATTACTACGTATAACGGATCTCGACGAGGATGCATCTAAACATCCGACTCCGACACCGACACCGATAGGTACCGACACCGACACGCAAGCACTTGCACATCCGTCCCTCTTATCCGTATATTGCCTCCGTGTTCCTATCATCTGATACAGATACGACGAAAGATAAACACATCGACAACTCCTTTTACCAATATCTATCGACGACCCACCTACATCTCTCCCCTCCTCCTCCTCCTCCTCCTCCTCCTCCTCCTCCTCCTCCCTTTACCACCTATGCAAGACACATGTCCTTGACGCTCCAGTAGTACATACATAGGTACATACCATGCCACCTCGATCCCACCAAACCGACATCTGCCTTGAACTTCTTGACCAAGAGGGAGGGAAGAGTCGATAAGCAAGTAAGGGACGGTACCTACCCTCCCTTACCTGGCCGTCGTAATGCTACAGCCGCGCAGCTATCTCTACACGCAAGCACCGACTTCCATTCTTACGTCCTCCAAACCCAAAGATACCAGCAGATATGAACAACAGCGGTTGGAAGGGAAAACCAGACCTCTTGCGAGAGATTCTGCGGACATGTTTTCCGCACCCACAACCATTCCTATATCCACCCCGAACCCAACCCCAACCGCCACCCTGAGACCAACGACAACTTCTTCGCCAGTGCTGATCCCTCTGCCCGCGCGTGGGCAGCGAGACGCTTCGCATGGCAGAGCCCGACCAAACCGTCGTCCCCAGGCAGATGCTATTTCCCCCTCGGTTGCTGCGCTTCTTGCGCTTACCTCGATTCCTCATCCGAAAACCAGCAGTCTGCGACCAAGAGGCGGTGCCACGCAGAGGCAGAGGCACAGGCAGAGGCTGACGGTGGACGCCATCTTGGAACAAACGGCTTCAGCAGAGAAGCCACTTGGCCTGGCTTTGGGAGAGGAAAGGTCTCCGTTGGATCTTTTGCTCAGCGCCCCAGATGACGACGATACAGACACAGATGTAGTATCTACGTCCATGTCCATGTCTGCGTCTACCAGAAGCATTTCCAGCGAGTCCATCCCCTCCTTGGACGGCTGCTCTCTGTCCCTCTCCGATGCCTCGCCACCTTTCACTCCAGTCAAAACTCCTGCCTCCTTGCGTAGCAGAAGGCCGATGCCTTGCCGCCGGACCCACTCGCTCTCGCCATCGCTTCTTACACCACCAGAGGACCATCCACTATCTGAGACGGAGACCTCCGTCGAAGAGCTGGTTTTCCAGGTCTCCCCCCAAACCCCAGAGCATAAGCAAGAGAAGCACCATGCCGAAATCCATTGGCGCAAACCAGCTTTCTTCAAGTCCAACCTCACGGCGTCACTGAGAGCCCTGAGATCAGCCGCCCGGTCACTTTCGAGCCTGGCAACACCCTTGTCCATCTCCCCGGATGATTTCACCACTCGGTCAATCGGTTCCATCGATCCCCAAGTACCATTTACCGACGAACGGGTGCCTCCTCGACTTGAGGATGCGCCAACCCCAGCTCTTCGCCGGTACCTCAACCCAACCACGAATGCTCCCATTGAAGCTCACGTCCCGAAATCCCGGACCCAAACGATCAGTTCGACGGCTTGCACGGCATCGATCCAGATGCAGACGTACAGGGTATCGTGCGTGGAAAAAGGTGCCTCTACACCAGAGGTCATCAGCCCGCGCACCCAAGCGACCGAAGTAGCCGAGGTCGAGGTCGCCGCTGGACCGTTAGCACGCCAAAGAGATTTGCGCGAAAACAGCGACTTCATCCGAGTCGCCGTTATGGAGATGCTCATGCGCAAGAACGGAAAAATTGACGACCAGAAACCAGGTAGAGCTAGGTGGGCGCTACCACCTAGGAAACCACCGACCAAGCCTTACGAGATCTCGGACGATGGGATCCCCGTACGGTGGATCGCCGTTACGAATTGACGCAGGTACGGCGATTCGAGTAACGTTTGTCTTGCATTTTATAACACCAGATCCCAAATCGGGTACCTAGACTAGAAATGGATCTATAAAAATATCATGTTTCCTGTCGCCCTCAAGCGAGACCGCCCCAAGTCCTTGACGGTATCCTTTTCACCACTCTTTCCTAAGGTGCATGATGACGCTTGGTCCATAGCAACTAGACCCAATCCCCGATCCCGTGGTATGTGAACGCCTCCAATGAAACAATAGATATTCGTCTGTAGTGCCGTCTCCAATGTGGCACGTTCTTCTTTGAGTCCGCATTGTTCAGCGTTACTTCCACATAGTTGTGGTCGATAGGCTGAAGTTCGCTTACATCTGGAGCGGAGCTACTCCTCCTCGAGGAGTGCAAACTGCCAAATTGCTGCCGCCGACGCTGCCGCCGCTACCGCCGTGACGCCTGGGATGATGGTCGGCCCTTCACCCGTCACCTACCACCTTTTTACGGCGGGATCCCAATCTCGTACCCAATCAACACCTCGGTATTGCTACCCTCCCAGCCGCGATTTCCTGCCGCGGAGAGCATATACCTGCAAGTAGGATCGATATGCAACGCACTGATGACACCCGCTCGCGGGGGTCCTGGAACGATCAAGAACGGCACCGTAGAGTGCTTCGCGGACTGTTGCTCCTTCAAATCGTAGAGGCGGAGGATGTCGTGCGATGCACTAAACCAAATCAGCCCGAAGCTTTCTTTCTCGGTAGGAAATAAACAGTCACGCTGGGGACAGACTTACCATATCAGATGCCGTCCATTGGGCATGGCTCGAACGGCTGTGACGGCGCCGCTTCCCTGGGGGAATTTAAATGTTCGGCTCGGGCTCTTCAGGCCTTGGTGCAGGCTGAATTCTTCAACGGTTCCATTCCGTCGGCCTGCGTAGACAAAGTTGCCATCGGGCGACCAACATGCTGCCATGCACCAAGGGGGAACCCCATGCCTGGTCGCGATTCGTGCTACAGGGTTCGGTTGCCTCCTGTCCCATACTCGTAGTGTGCCATCTATGGATGCGGCGAGAAACGTAGAGTCCGAGGTTGCAACCGCATCTTGGGTTTTAGCTACCACAATATGTGGCGGAGGCTCTTCCTCCAAATGAGTGCCATCTGACTTCGAAGTCTCGCCCGTGCCATTTTCTGTAGCTTCTGGAACGAGAGGAGGGGCTTCTCCCATACTCAGATCACCCTGTGCATCGGTTTGTTCCCGGGTGTCCAAACCTGACTCAATTGCCATGGAAAACTCGTCATCTTCATCTCCGAACACTCCTCCGGATGGTGCCCCTTCACCGGCTGTCTCTCCAAACAACGAGTTATTGTCACTCCCACCGCCAAACAGCGAGTCGGCGGGAGACCCAGGCGCATCTTCGTTATTCACTTCCGGCTCATGAGTCGCTCCATCGGCACCTTGCGTCCCGTTCGTGAAAGGCCTGTCGTTGTTGCTGGAAAACGTCTCGGATTTCGGCACAGGCTCCCACGACTCTTCTGGTACAGGGAAAGACGAGGCTGGCCGCACCTCGATGGCGGATATCTGGCCACCACTGCCCTCGAAACTCCTCTTGATAGATCCGGTATCCAAATCCAAATCAAGAACCTTCTTGTCCCAACTGCCGGAAAGAACCGACCTTTCGTCCTGAGCCAAGGCAAGAGCGGAAACTGCTGAATTGTGATGCCGCATGGAGTGGATCCTGGAACCTTCTTGATGCCGTATACTGTATATGTTAATAGCTCCTGATTCCAAACCAGAAAGTAGCCATAACGCTTTTGATTGAACAGCCAACGAATATACTGGCGAGAGTGGTGGTTCCGCCTGCTTCTTTCCCTGCTCTTCCTTTTCCTCCTGCTCTTCCTTATCCTCCTGATCTTCCCTGTCTTCCTTCTCTTCCTTCTCTTCCTTTTCTTCATTGTCTTCCTTGGGATTCTTGTCATCTTCCACCGGCGGGGGTTCCTGGTTGTCCCAGTAGGTCATCAGAACTCCAGCTTTGACCACACTATCCACAAAAGGGTGTCGTTGCGCCACAGTCAGGAGTATCTTTCCATTGACCGTTGCGGCTCCGTCATATTTCCGTATGAAGCAATCTGTACCCCCTGTGAACCAATACCTCATATCTGGTGTCGCTGTTATGGCGTTGATCGATGTGCTTTGCGGCGCCGCCATGGTAGGTACTATATCGTAGGACGATGCAGTGAGAGCTTCGGCGCGCACTTCATAGCGAAACTTGGGCGATCGCAAAGGAGCTGCAGAGATTCGTGGGGAGGCAGAAGTTGAATCGGCAACTGGTCTAGGCTGTGATGTAGGTCCACCATTGATCTGGTTGGCCGTAGGCGTGTCTTCGGAGCTGGTGTTTGGAGGTGGAATACTAGGTCTCCGAGGTTGGGCGACTGAAGCTGGCTCGGGGGCGTCGTCGTCATCATCTTCTCCTTCGTATTGGTCTTCGTCGTTCTCATTCTCGTTCTCGTCGTCGTCTCCGTCGCCGTCGCCGTCGCCATCCCCATCGCCATCGCCATCCCCATCTCCATCTCCATCTCCATCGCCATCCCCATCGCCATCCCCATCGCCATCCCCATCCCCATCCCCATCCCCATCTCCATCCCCATCCCCATCGCCATCCCCATCCTCATCTTCCCCTTCCACGTCTACATCCATTTCATTATCATCAGCATCGTCCATGAGCTCATCCTGTTCGTTGTCGGAGCTACCATTGGAAGCTGGAAATCCAAGACAGTTAGTTCTTGCTGGCATATGGTATTAGTATATATGGATATAGCACATACCTCGGTCATCGTCATCCAGGCCAAAGTCAGGCATCTTATTTGAGTTATGGGGGGACTCTCATTCGAATCAGTACCTTTGCTACCTCATCCTTGTGACGCCCGGAGGCAGAGGGCGAGCAAGAGTGCCAGGTTCGAAAGGTGAGTAGGTAGGCAAGTGTGCAAGGTGGTACTTCATGTTGTTGCTCGCATCCTCGGGACTACCTACCCTCGTGTTGGTTTTTGCGGCCCATTCCAAGATTTGATCAGGGGCTATACTAAACCACAACTTCAGATACTACCTAATTATCTAGACAGGAATTTTCTCATCAGCTAATAAACCTATTAGAGATTAAATTTAGCTTTAGAGTATCTTCTGCGCTCAGAGAAAACCTAGCTGCGGCAGCCGATTTTACTAAGCAAGTAGCCGACAGCTCACAGTACTTACTCAAGCTTCAACGCCATGCGGCTCTTTCTCAGCCCTCTCTCTCTCTCTCTCTCTCAGCCTCGCATAAGTGTCAAGAAAATACGGATATTCACTTGAGACGAACTTCCAACTATGAACTTCCAACAACAAACTCCAGAAATGACTGGCTATGTTCGACTATTTGGCGTTCAATGTATGCTCTACTCTACGTGTCTACCGACCCCGGCATCTCGTCCTCGCTGCTCTCCTGCCCGGGCAGCTCCGCCATTTCATTATCCGTATTTGTATTTTCACTCTCGCCGTCCTCTTCTCCGACCGGCATTCTAGCTCCCCAGAGCATGTTCAAGAGTCTCCTCGCCATACTGACAGGAGGCTGGTTGTAACTACCCCGGATCCCGTCCTGAGGCTCATCATTATTTCCACTGTCGTCATCGGCATCGTGCCCAGGATGCCCGGCTTCATACTCCTCCATTTCTCTCCGTAGAAATTCCACAACCTCAGGGTCCCTCAGAACTTCGTCATCGTCATCGTCCGCGCCGGGCCGCAGAACGGGCAGCAGTCCCCGCATGGCTGCAAACGGGTTAAGGAAATTGCCAAAAGCGTCTCCTGGCGCGCCTCGGTCTCGGCCTTCGATTGCGGCCCGTTGATGCTCATATGAATACACGTTGATATCTGGTGGCAACGGGTCAGAGTCGGAATTGTTGCTTCTATGGAGTAAGTGACTTGGTGCAAGAGCCATGAGGGCAGGGGTGTTGTCTAAGTAGACGAAGCGCACGACATCCAACGTCATGTGGGAATCATCAAGCTTCGGGATTGAATCCACGTCCAATTTTGAGATCGTGTAGGCTATTTCCACAAGCAGGGCCGTAGCTTCCGGCGTGTTCCACAGGTCTTTCGTTTGGAGGACATACATTTCCGTAAAGAGGGATTCCGCCTCGGTTCGTGGGATGGCGCCCCATATGCTGGGTGGTGCATCAAGGCCGAGCTCTTTAAAGAGGTGAGTGAACAGCCAGGGAAGCTTCTGCATCGAGTCGGCAAGCAGCTTTCGGCATTGTGTGCCCTCCTTTAGTTGTAGGGCCGCAAATGCGACAGAAGGTGTGGTGTGCGATGCCGCAAGACATTTCCCCAGGTATGATGGTGCCCAAATCTCGGACATCTCACTCTGGGAGACGTCTAGCAGCCACTTGAACTCCTGAGCTTTGAGGGAGAGTTGATGGATGAGCAGCCGCATGCAATATGGATCTTCTTCTGGATCCAGACTGAGGATCAGCTTTGCCCATTCCAGTGCTGTCCGATAAGTTCCCTTCATGAGCAGTGACTTGATATATTGATATGCCGCCAACCACAGTTCCCTGTTCTCGGGTCGAGCGAAATCAAGTCGAGCCTTTCCTTGGGATAGCTTGGTGCTGAACAGAGATGTCGATGCTCGTCCGAAGGAGAAAAGAGCGCGTTCGAGGAGGTCTGCTGATAACGCGTGGTCTGTCTGGTCCTTGGCAATTTTACTTACTTGTATGAGCAGGGAGATGTGGTAAGCTAGGATATATTAGTTATGTGTAGCACCACCCCCCGGAAGCAGACTTACGATTCCTCGTCAGAAGCGCAATCAGGTTCTGGGGATCCCCCATTTCTACAAAACCAAAGAAGGTCTGCTGTAGACTCTGATAGGCCTGATCATGGACGTAGCGAAACTCGACCGTTCCATCATCTGTCGTATCATCTACCACAGCCATTGTCAGGCCTCCAGTAGTCGCTCTTGGCCAGTCATCCTTCCCCTGAATGAAGATGTTTCGTCGTAAGGTCAGCTCCGAAAGGCCCTTGCCTGGCAGGTGATGGCCTTTCAAGGCCGTCTCCAGATCGACCTGCTGGTTCTGGGCCCGCTGTCTCGACCTTCTCCCTCCTCGTCCAGCAGGACCACCGGGCTCGTCCATCACTTCGACGGCAGCCTTGCCGAACAGATTCCTCATCTCATTCGCAACCTTCAGGTGCTGCGAGTTGATCCCTAGCAGCGAACACACCCTTTCGTACTCCGGGTCAACCGTCAATCTCGTGTCGACGTGCCCGGGTGGGCTCTTGAGCGCCAACTCGCGCAACGCAGCATCGATATCGTCTGTCCCGCCGGCCCAATTCCCCTTCCCATTCCCATCCCTAGGCTCATCCTTCTCCGCATCGAACCCCTTTGCCTTCTTTGCCTTCTTCTTTTTCTTTGCCTTCTTGGGCTTCTTCGACGAAGGGGGGTTGGCTGTCGCAGTTGGTTCCTCCGTGACACTGTCCTGGCCCGCTTCTTCCTCCTCCTCTTCCTCCTCGTTTTCAAGGTCTGCGAGATCTGCAAACGAAAATCCAGGTTTCGTCTTCACGGGTGCCACTGGCTCGTCCTCAGATTGCTCCTCTGCCTGGGGATGTAGTTGCGCTTGCTCCAGTTCCCGTTGCTGCTGTAGCTTCCGCAACTGTCTGCTGGACATGATGACAGTACTGTCTGGGTATCGTGCTCGAGTTTGGGGGGGGAGCTGTGCACCAATTTTGTAGTTTGTGTCGGACTAGGAATGAGAGGATTATTTGAAGCGAATAAGTAACTATGGAAGTAAGTATTGAGTATTGAAGTGAGATGGTCTATGTAGCTCCCCACCTCCGAGCGGCGAATGACGCACCCCTCCGGCGGAATCCCGGCCATGTCAAGCGCAGCCGGCCGCCAACATTTACGGAATATATAAAATCTACAGATGATGGAACTATGTGACACTCAATTCCCGGATATTGCAAGACACTACAGCGAGGGTGGATTCTATACCTAAGGTACCAATTCACATCAGAGCGCCCACCAGAACGTGGTTATTCCCTGAGACAAGGCTGACAACGAGGAAGGGAGAGGCTGAAAGAGCGGGTCGGCCTGCTACAAGCTCCCATATCCGAATCGCTCTCAGAGCTATTGTCGCACCGTCAATACCGACACCATCACCTATCTACTCCGTACGGTCCCTCATCTCACCTACTCCCTCCCCCTCCTCCTCCTCCTCCTCACCACGATCCAAATGCGTCGAGCAGCTGTCCAAGCAGTTCGGACCTCCTCCTATGCTTCGGGCATCCGACACCTCTCCGGTGGCCCAAAACCTCATTTGAAACGTCTAAAGAATGCACCAACCACCACCACTACCAACAACACCACCCACAGAGCCTCCTCTTCCTTATCGTCCATGTATATTCGCAGAGTCTCGGTCGCTGTTCTTTCCGGGCTGGTGGGATTTGGCGCATGGTACACCTACAAATACCAAGCCCGGAATCAGACTGACGCGGGCTCGCAGGCGCAGCAGTCTACGGGGTTCACGACCTCTGGAAATGTCTACGGCCCTCTGCCAGCTGGACAGCAAAGCGTCGAGAGGAAAACTGTCATTGTTGGGCCGGACACATTGTACACGCGTTCTATCCCTGGCGACGAACCAATATCCAAAGACACGGACGAGTCGGGCAGGAAAGTCTTGGAAATGTTGACACCGGATCAAGCTACTCAGAAGCTGAGGAGGAACGAAGAATCATACCTGGTTGGACGCGGAAATGGTGTTGTAAGATACGATGTTGTTCAGATACCCAGCAACGATCCCATCGAAGACGACCATGTGGAGAAAATCATCGAGCTACCTCAATCGTTAGCCACTGCGACGAAGCATGCCTCGAGTGATTGGATGTTCTGGGGAGTGTTTGATGGCCATTCGTGAGTGCACGCAGCAAACCTGCAGGATGTTGTTAACATTGGCAGGGGCTGGACGACCTCTGCGAAACTCCGACAGGTTCTGGTGAGCTTCGTCGCCCGCGAACTCAACTCGACGTACACTGCCGCCTTGGCCGATCCATCTGTCGGTACCCCTTCCTCTGAAGCCATTGAAGCAGCCATAAAGACTGGATTCAACCGACTTGACCACGAAATCGTACACGAAAGCGTGGAGAAGGTTCTGAAAGCCAACTCCAAGCTCGTCGCTGCCGAGGTCCTCGCACCAGCTCTCTCGGGATCTTGCGCTCTCCTATCCTTCTATGACAGCAAGTCCAAGCTCCTCCGCGTAGCTTGCACTGGAGATTCTCGTGCCATTCTCGGTAGACGAGGGGAGTCGGGTAAATGGGTAGCTACTCCCTTGTCCGTCGACCAAACCGGAGGCAATCCGGAGGAGGAAGCCCGCATGCGAAAGGAACATCCGGGAGAACCCAACGTCGTCCGCAATGGTCGAGTACTTGGAGGATTGGAGCCGTCGCGTGCGTTTGGAGACGCTACATACAAATGGTCTCGCGAAGTTTCAGAGCGTCTCAAGCAATCATTTTTCGGGCGTACCCCTTCGCAACTCCTCCGTACTCCACCGTACGTGACTGCCGAGCCTGTTGTCACCACTACGAAGATCCAGCCTGAGAAGGGCGATTTTGTCGTCATGGCCACTGATGGTCTCTGGGAAATGCTTACAAACGAGGAGGTTGTGGGACTTGTAGGTCAATGGATCGAGAAGCAATCCGGGGAAGCAAATGGGAGTTCCTGGGCGAAGATGTTTGGTCAGCCGAAGGGCCTGCCGGTCGAGCAAAGTGCCAAGAATCATGGTGCAAATGATGGTCAGAAGACGCCCATCAGACAACAGCAATGGGGTGTGAAGGGGGGCGAGTCCGAGAGGTTCGTCGTGGAGGACAAGAACGTTGCTACGCATCTGGTCAGGAACGCCTTGGGTGGGAAGGACAAAGATGTTCTCTGCGCGTTGTTGACACTGCCGTCGCCGTATTCTCGGCGGTACAGGTATGCTCTCCCTCCCCTGTCTCGTAAATAGCACTCTGGCTCACATGATTCAGGGACGACTTGACTGTGCAGGTCATCTTCTTCGGCGACAGCGACAAGGGTGGAGATGTGGTATTGAACAGGGAAGCCAGTGCAACCGCCAGTGATGTGAAGGCCAAGCTGTGAGGCGCTGTACCGTATCTGCGGAACGTGTACTTTTACATTTTTTATATTGGTGTGGGCATCTCATGGGGGTGATGAGGCGCGCGGAGTTGGGGAGCTGCTTGCCCGGACGGTGGCTGGCTAGTGCTCCCTCTGGACGATGCGATGACAGAGATGCAATGCAAGAAGATTTGCCGTCTCGTAAACAGTCGTGCCCTCATCGCTCTCGATGTACATGACGTCCCGATCAGTCTTCGCCCTCTTCACCAACTCAGCAACTCCATCCCGTTGTCCATAGCAGTTCGGCATGGTATTGGGGGGGTACACGTGATCTCTGGGTCTCGTGTTAAGAGATACCGGTAGGTAGATAAGGCACGGTAGATACCGATACCTATAGATAGATCGCCCACCTGATTCAACTTCATCTACCCCTTATCCATCCCGCTTCATTTCGTCTCATCCCATCTCATCTTCATCTCACTCCTTCGTATCAGTATTTCCATATCACAACACACGACTTGCCTCGAATAGAAGGTCTTGGATGACTTCTCTTTATTTACATTCGTGAGATCCCGCTGCCCCCAACACCCACCCACGATGGCCTTCCGTCAACCCACATTCCACACGGCCCAACGAGTCCATACCTCGCCCGTAGAGCTCCAGCCACAAGACCAGCACCAGCACCAGCATCAGGTCTCGCCGCCGTCGCCGTCGCAGTCGCAGCAGAATCGCGTCGCCGACAGCCAGGAATGGATCCTGTTCGCACCCTCCGCGGCATCGACGACAGACCGCGGCTACGATACTTCCACAGCGAAGACACGCACCGAGGACCTTTCAAGGATTAGTGATTTCGGGAGCTTGGACACTGCTGCTCGCAGCTATGGTTACGAAGAGGGTTCAGAGGAGGACATCGAGGAGGAAGAGGAAGAGGAAGAGGATGGCGAGCTGGACAGCCTGGACAGCCATCTGCCTGCTTTCAGGGCCGAGGGAAGCCTATACAGAGAGAGTGCTGGGGCCACAGGCACCGTGTTGCCGACCCACGATGGCTTGGGGAGTTTTCGTCTGGATCAGACGAATATGGGGGAGGATGTGCAGGAACATTTGTATGCCTTCGAACGCTTTAATCCGCGAAGGGTGAAGAGGAGGAGAGAGAGTGTGGAAGGGGCAGTGGATAAGATGGAAATGGGTGAACGGGTCGCGGACGCAGACTGGATGAGAAGGATTGAGCAGTGGCGGATGGAGCAGAGCCGGCTGCTGGTGGATGAAATCCAGAAGGAGACGAGGAAGAGGAAACAGTCAATGTCCAGTGAGAGGCGGTCTATCATCGAGGATCGGAAGCAGGAGGATCTGGCGACTTTCAGCCACGTGGAGAGCGAAGAGGCACAGGACGAAGAGAGCGATGGATTCTGGAACAGAATCACGAAAAGGGTCATTCGGGATTTGATGGGCATTGATGACGATTTGCTCGCCATCCTCCTCCTTGGTGAAGCTCTTCCCGACGACGACGACAACCACACATCCTCGAGGCCCACTGCTACATCCGTCATAACGTCCAAGAAGTACGATGAGTCCACCTGGGAACATCGAATTCTGGAGCGAGTGGCCAGAGAACTGGGGATCTTGGTCAGTCAGCTATCCGACCACCCTGGGGCCTTTTCAACCTACCTTCATTCCCAACAAACACCTCTGCCCTACGCCGGGCTACCCGTCATTCCAGAGACGCGAAACCAACCAATCCTCGACGCCTCGACCCTCTCATCTCCAGAACCTCAATTCCGTCCAACCCTTCAAACCGAACCAGTCTCCATCCCGATATCTAGCACTTCTTTCGCCCCGTCTCTTCTTCTCGACGAAGACGCCACGCCTCGCGCCACCAGCCCCATCTCCCAACCCCTGACACGTGAAGAATGGGAGCGCGACCTCGATATCAAAATGGTGTTTCGCTACCTCCACCTACGCTTCGCTTCTAAATTCAACTTTGCTTCCCCCGCTGCCACTCTAAACTTGACCACCGTCGGCACCTCGCACCTCGCAACAGCAAGTACAGCAGATACGGCCGCACGTGCTGCCCGAGTTCAGCAACATCACCCACTTGTCAAATCAGGGGAGCGACGCCGCAGCAACGAGCGGAGGACGTGGCGGGCCAGCGTCCCTGTTTCAGGAAGTCCAGTGCTGAGGAGAGGCAGTAGCAGCTGTGCAAGCGAAAATATGAGCGGGAATGCAAAGGCGAGAAACAGTGGGAGTAGTCGCCATTATTGGGATTTCGGAGGCCAAAGTGTGGGGAGCGGGAGCTTGATTGCAAGCACCGGGGCAATGGGGAGCTGGGGGGTATGAATGTGTAGAGAGATGAAGGAGACGATTCACTGTTTACGATTCACTGTATCCGATTATGTTTTTTTTTGGGGGCCCAGAGCGGATTTTGGGTGGAGGTGTTGAGCATTTGAAGCGATTTCTCGTCTCAATTTCACCTGGTTGATTTCCACGCCGCAAGTATTTTCTTCGCAGTACTTGCAATTTTCGGATCCAGGCTAGCACTAATCTTACCTTTCATTCATCAATGTCCTTAAACCGCTCCCCTTCACAGTTCCTTCCTTGCGCAAACAGTACTGACGGGAGGCAGGGACTATATAACAGTCTCACTCACTCACTCACTCACTCACTAACTCACTCACTCCTCCCCTCCCCATCTCCGATAGAAAATCCCTGACGCCGCCACCACCACCCGCACTCTCGAATCCAACACCAACCGCCCCGGGCTTGTCGCGTCATGTCATGTCAACGACAAAGGCCCCCATCTCTCGTACAGAACCGTACCGAGCTCGGCACATTTTCTCGCGTCTAGCGAGCAAGCGGGCTCCTGTCTCGGGGCTCTCTCCCAATGCCGATTCTGGCACACTGCTGGCGGAATACTTTCGGAAATGTACTTTACTTTTGAGTCGTCGGACTAGGTCGAAGGACGAAGTGAGTGAGGGCGTATTGTGTCGCGAAATTGCATTTGCAAATTGTGCGCGGCGTGAAAAAAAAAAAATTGCTGAGGTGCTGTGGCGGGATAGGTAGCTTGAGATTCACTCCGTCTGGTCGTTCCGGTTGGTTGCTGTCGAGGCTTGGGGGGGAGGGGCTTCGCTTTGGAATTCGGGGGAGAAATTAGTTAACTTAGTTGGGTCTGGGGTTGGAGTTTGCTTGTGCTAATCTTGATTGCGTGACTAGCCTACTTGCTTGCGCTTTTTCACAGATAGATGCACACCTACCTAAATCAACCTGCCTACTCCCTTTATATCTATCAATCAATCACCAAAGCTCCCGCACTCCACGTGAGATAGTTTCCAAAGTCGGATCTGTATTACACCCCATACAGTATGATGAAAGATCCCTTTAAGGCTTTTTTTCCAAGCCAGGTGAAAGAAGAAAAACATTTGGTGAGATCGGAAGGTTTTTCGGACTAACACGCCATACTAACGACGTGTGTAAAAGGCAACTAACTAACTATTTCTCGACAGGCTGTATTCGAATCTGAGCATCTGTAAAGGGCATGATACGCAGTGATCAAGAGTTTGTGTCCACGGAGTACATTTGCAAAGGTGGGAGCTCGTTTTGAGATCTTGCAAATCTTTCTGCGGACTTTTTTCTCGGTGGAGATGTGTTGCTTTTGTTGTCGTCGTCGCTTGGCGAGATACTTAAGCGAGGTGGGGGAAGAACAGAAAGAGGGTCCATTATCAATCAAAGACATCAGTCGCAGCCGGACTCTATACAAAAAGAGAAGTTCCAGAATTTATGACGGTCTACAGGCTGCCATGCAGAAAGGATGGAAAAACTGGAAGGTGTTATGGCACTATAATAAAATCCGATTCGCTCGGTCGTCTGACGATGGAAAAACGCATTTCCAAACACCATCGAACCCTTTCCCAGCCATTATTATCGAGTATATCTAAGCTTCTCACCGGAATTCTCCATTCGCCTGCCCTTCCGCCAACGATTCTCCCTCCCCAGTCTCCACCCTGTCCCCACTATCCATCCTCTCAAACGCTTTCTCCACCTGCCACTCCCAGTCACTCCACGCGACGATAATCCACTCGATAGCCCCGACAAGATACAGCGCTATACACTGCCCAACCCAGAGTCCACTCAGTCCCCACCCATGGAACGCCAGCCAGATGCCTAACGGTAATGCTCCCATGTAATAACTTGCTATATTTACCGCAGCCCCGATATGCTGTCGTCCCATTCCTCTCAAGCTGCCCCCGCAGCTTCCATTCAAGCCATCCGCGATCTGGAAGAGCGCAACGTATGGAAGGACCTGCGCTGTCAATTTGATAACTGCAACATCGTCGTTGAAGATCTTGGCGAAGGAGTCCTTCACGGACATCAAAATGATGAGGATAAGGGCACCCATAACAATGCTCAAAAAAGCAGCCACATTCGCCGCCCTAGCCGCACCCTTCGCATTGCGTGATCCTAGCAAATTACCAACTCGTGCCGAAGCAGCAACGCCAATGCCAAAGGGGACCGTGTTCATGACTTGGTCCGTAGTCATTATGATACTTTGCGCAGCGAGCGGGATCGTGCCTAGCCGCCCAGCAGCCAAGGCAACGATTTCGAAAGCCCACCATTCCGTGCCAACATGAACGACGCCGAGAATTGCTAAGCGAGCGAATGTCTTGATGTTGTGCAAGCAGGCAAGAGACCAGCCGCCCCAGCAGACCGAGCCGGCAACGAAGCGAGAGTAGGCGACAAGGAGGAAAAAAGATATCCAGTAAGCAATTCCGGTTGCAAAGGGCGCACCGAGTAGGCCCATCTTGAAGGTGTAGACGCAGAGGTAGTTGAGGCCTGCATTGAGTGGAGAGGTGAGGAGGAGAACGTAGGTACCTGGGCGCATGATTTCTGGGGTCTTGTGAGCTTTAGTCGTGGGAAGAGGGCCTGGTGGTACTGACGCTGGGCTTGCAAGTATTTCTTCATAGCCTCAAAGTAAACATAGCCTAAACCACCTGGTATCAATACCGTTAGGAATCTGGCACTATCCACACAGAGGTACTCTTCCTGCCCCAGTAATCTGAAGATTGGAGCAGAGCATGCCCACAAGACAGCAACCGGTATATAGAAAGCAGTGAGGACGACGAAAGCCCGCTGTAGCAAGATCCCGAGATCGTGGGGATTCTTGCTTCCTGTAAAAGTCGACGAAGCCAATGTGTCCAAGGCAGTTGTTCCTCCCAGCGCAATCAACCATGCGGTACACATAGCAAACATATAACTGAAAGCTGCCGTAGCCAATTTCTCAGGACTCAGCCTCCCAACTATCAAAATCGAGATCGTCTGCAAAGAGTTCTGGAGTGTGTAGGCCAATATCACAGGCACGGAGCCGCGCAGCAGCATGAAGAATTCCGTAACCCATTGCTTGAATGTAGACTCGTCTTCGTCCACGTCGGATGCTTCGCCTAATGCGGATGGGGATGTATTTGGATTCGCGTGAGTGGGCTCAAGGAGAGATGTTCGCTCGTGAGGCGGAATTAGAAAGGTGGATTGTTCGGATCTGAAGAAGTTGGGCAGCCAGTATGGCTTTGGATCGCTTGAGTTGTCCATTGAAAGAGGTCTGAAGAGGAGCAAGTTGTGACTGAGGTTGAGGTTGACTCGGCATCGACTGTATATGACATGAAAGCAAGTGAGAAGAAGGAAAACTCGAACGCAGATATCAACACGGCCGTCAACTTCGAGAAAGAGGCTGGAGTGATAGATATCCAGATACTATGACACACATTTGCAAGAGAAAGAAAAAGCCATGACAAAGATAGACGTAAGAAGTAGGAAAATCGATACTTGGACCACAACTGTCAAATGGATCTACATCTCGCGCGTCGAGTCGAGTCGAGGGCGGTGGAGACCTGACAATTGGATTGCACCATGGGGTATGGGGATAGCTGCGGTTCCACCGAGGATTACTGCAAGTGTTTGATAAGGTCGGCGGCGATGTTTGTTGAGAGTTTCGTGCTGTCTAATGTTGATGGTCGTGGTCGTGGTCGTGGACGAGATGACACGGAGTTGTTGCTCAGAATTACGTAATAGAAAGTATTGACACGTGACCAGGGCTTCAACACTTCGTACTTACACCAGACATTTACCACTCTGACTTCAACGACGCCTCAACATCGGCATTCAACGCGATTCTTCCGAGGAGCTTACATCTATTGCCAACATGGAATCAAAACAATTGACGTCGGCAGAATACCAATTGCTGTCGTCAGAATTACACGCGGGTCTTCGTCGCATATTGCGTAAAAGTCATCTTGCAATGGATGATCATGAGAGCGCTGCGGTGGCAAGTGAAGTGAAAGAGCCTCTCCTGTACCTACATTTTGACTTTATTCCTAACACGACCAGGCCCCTTTGAAGATGAGCGACACTCGCCCCCGTGGTCGTCCCCGTGGGCCATGCAGCAAAGTTCGCAATCTTGCTACCTACAAGCTTGTCGAGAATTTCAATAGCGTAATTCAAGGCTGGACAGATGCAGAGCTGCGCAAGAACCCCTTTGGTCCACTGAAGAATCTGCACCCTTCAAACCATGAAATTCAATACTACAAAGCCCAAATGATTGATAAGTTCGCTGACGCTCCCGAGGAAGACCCCTGTGTTAAATGTCAAGAACGGGGCTTGAAGTGTCAGAAGAGCTGGAATCCTTATGACCGCTCCGGCCGCGCCACCAAGTTTGGGGATCAAGCCTGGATTAAGACCACTCGATGCTCGGGGTGCTTGCGCGTAGCCGACGGCAAATGTCATGGTAGCAAGGACACAGATTTCCGGAAGGCCCTCCGGTACCCTGCAGGAACCGCGCGCCTTATTGGCCCTACGAAAAGAACAAGAAACGATCGAGTCCAAGACGAGAAAGTTGGAGTTCAAGACCAGCAAGTTGGAGTCCAAGACCAGCAAGTTGGAGTTGAAGACCAGCAAGTTGGAGTCCAAGACCAGAAAGTTCGATACCAAGAACAGCAAGTTCAAGGGGAGAGTATTCAGCTAGCTGCCTCGATTTCCAGCGCTAAACCTTCGCATCTCCGAAAGGATGTTCCCGTAATCTTCCGGGGCCTGAAGCTTCTTCCAATGCCACAAGGCACGACATTTGAGCTTTATATTCCGGCTGTGGTTGGTGGCCGCCGATGTGAGCCCGGTGACACTGTTCGAAGCGAGGATCTTACGAATCGACAGCTTCAAGCCCAGTTGGACGCAGTGGACAGTATGACAGCCAGGGTTGCATACAGTGACTTTTCGGCCACCACCTGGTCAGATGCGCAAGTGGTGCAATCAAATCAGAGCCAATCTCACGTTTTCGGCGCATCTCGATACCCTGCTCAGAGCTCTTTGCGTGCGCAGGGCTCACCAGCTTTGGGCCGGGACGACCGGGCCGATGTACTCGAGCGTGACTTTCGGCCACCGCCTGGGGGCTCAAGGAACGACGGACGGGCCGTACCAAATGTGCAACCTGCAAGAGCCTCCCGAGTACTCGAGAGCCCTTCGGATGACGAAACTATGGTTGTCCCCGAGAAAGCTCGCCCGGTCACGCCCCGAGCCATGCAGGGCAAGAGAGAGGCCTCCGATGATGCCGATTCCAACATTCTGTTCAAGGTGCCCGTTCACAAGCGGGCGAAGAAAGGCGGAACGAACCACTGACGGAAGCCACCTATGGGGGAAGATAGACAGATAGATAGATAGACAGATACCAGTACGTTCCGAGAATATGATCTGGCGATGATTCACCACTTCTTTGGCATCCGCCTCGCCATGCCGTTTCTTGAATGTCAATTCAGAGTTACGTACGTCCCTTATCCAAAGCCCCACTCCTCTCATACGTAACTGCCTTTGTTACGCCATGAGGTATGTATGTTTGTATGTATATATCAACCGATGGAAAGTCCGGAAAAAAAACCGGCTTTGAAATCGTTGTGTTACACATGAATCCTTGTCATCAACGTGTGAGCTGGTTCCTCGAGCCGCGGTAGGCTGTAGCTGGGATGGATGTGAATCGTGATACTTTCCATTTTCTATTTTCGGCAAGCCCACGTTCAGACGAACGTCCATGCTTTTTGAGGCTCAATGTAAGTATTGCCGGTGCTTCATGTTCAGGTGAGGTACTACCTACTATATGAATGAGACCAAGCTTCGATCCAACGTCGAAGAGAAAGTACCTGGGACGACAGAGGTCGCTACCGTCTCGTGACTTTTGGCGAGAAGCGAGTCCAGAAGCGAGTTTTGGCTTATCGATAACGTACGGAGCGACTGACCACGTGGCCAGCGATAGCCAATCCGCGTGGGGATGCAACCGCTGTGTGTTCGGAGCCGCTTACGTAAAATAGCAAGTACGGTCGAGTGGTACGGGATGGGATTGGATGGATGGGTAAGCGCCGTCGCCGTGGGCAAGACGAGAATGCATCTTGGGACGGTGAGATCTTGCTTGGCTTTGAGCTGGGCCTGTGACGGTCGGATTTTGAAAAGGTGGTTGGTTGGTTGGTGGTGTTCAGTTGGTGGTGATCGGTTGGTGGTGGTCGGTTGGTGGTGGTCGGTAGTGGTCGTCGGTAGTGGTGGTCGGTAGTGGTGACGGTGCAACTCCGTGATGGCCCACCAACCCCACCATCCCACCATCCCACCACCCCACCTCCCCACCTTTTTCAGGGTCTGATAAGCGAAGACAAGTCTACCGAGCTACTGTACTTACGCGCCGGGCCCGGGCCGCCCCTGATCCCTCGCCAATCAAGGCCGCTCAAGTAAACAACGCCGCATGCAGTGTATCCATCCGTCCATCCATCCATCTATCCATCTGTCCCATCCCATCCTACTGTTACCGCCAACCTTTCTGCGGCATATGGGATGGGATGGATTGGATGGATGCATAGGCGGATGGACGGATCGCTTGGTCAGTCTGCCCTATCATGTGGCTACTTACTACTTCACTCGACCCGACCTCGCCCTCCTCCAACCCTTCAAACCCTTCAAACCCTTCAAACCCTTCAAACCCGTCAAACCCGTCAAACCCTTCACCACTTCACCCCTTACCCCCTTCTCCCCTTCACCCCTTCTTCCCTTCACCCCTTCTCCCCTCCCATCTCACATCCTAAACAGCCGTCAGTTAACTACATCTACAACGACAGCCCTGCCTCGCAACACCGTCCCATCGCTCGGATGTCAGCTGTCAGAGAGAATCAGATTCCGAGCATTTGGTCTGTTCTTCCTTAGCCGAATGTCCAGAACCAGGACCCAGGACCAGGTCCAGTTGCTAAGAAAGCGGCAACCGAAGAAGCAGACCAAACCAATTGTCTTTGCCCGGAAAACTCCCTTTCGGCACCGACATCTCTACCATCTCAACCTCATCATCACCAAACCCGTCGCCTCTGTTGCTCCAGCCAGCGCTGTCCACCTGTCATTATTTCTCTCGTCCGCGCCATTCCACTCTCGTTCCTGCCTGTCCGTCGGTTTGGGACGTGGACCACCGTATCAATTTAGCTCATCCGCCATTGTCTATTCACGACTGTCACCAGTCAGTCTTCCATCTGGTCATTTTTAATCTGCTCGAGTCATTTGCGGCAAACGCTTCTGTGGGAGAACGGCAGTGCATTTTAGGGAAGGAATTCAGACGGGCAGCCAGGATCGATCGTCGGATAAACCGAGACGAAGGGACGGCTTTTTAGACGAGAATGGGAAAACTCATCAAGAACCACTGGGCTCGCCTGATTGTCCTCACCGCCAGCATCTGTATGTCCCCTCTCCTTCCCTTCCTCTCCCTTCCCCCACCAATCCATCAGGCAGAAAGAAAGAAAGAAAAACTAACTTGAAAAAGACCAAATCGCCGGCGGCGTGCACGGCTTCTTCTGGCCCAAGATCTTCTGGGACTTCCTCACCAAGAACCTCGACGTGGCCGTGAAGCCACTCCCGATCCTGCAGACCATCAATGTCGTGCTCGGCCTCGTGATGCTCGCGTGGGAGTGGCCGCTGAAGTTCCTGGCCGGGAGCGCCCTGCACCGCAGCATCGCCGCGCGGCTGGTGGTGCTGCCGCTCGCGGCGCTGGCGGCGGCGTTGCTGTACCAGAACACGAACCCGGCCATCTACTACACCATCGGTATGGTGGTGTATTTCTGGGCCTACAGTGAAGGAGAGGTGCGTACCAGTGCATATTGTGGAAGGGAAGAGTTTTAGCTGACAAGCGACATGCAGATCGTCGTTGCGCAACCGTGGGCTCTCCCCGAACGCACGCGGCCGGGCAAGGTCTAATCTAATGAACTTCGCTCCCCGGTCCTGCGCTCCTACCGGTTACTTATCCCATGGAACGATCACCTACGCTCTGCAGAACTGCCGGTATCAGCAACGACATCTTTTGCGCTTGGATATTTTGGGGGGATTTTCTTCTTCCCTCCTCCGGACCTGATCTCGCGATATTTATACACCTTAGCTTTATTGTTTTGAACGTGCGGTGTGGCAGGCTGCGGTAGCCGGTCGATGGAATGACGAGAGAGAGAATATCCCTGACAGACAGGCAGGCAGAGAGAGAGAGGAAGAGTATTACGCATGCGAAGGGGTTGGGATTCAGGATTCCTCACCGCCGAGAATCGGGAACCTTTTAGCATGGATGGATGGATGGATGGATGGATGGATGGATGGATGGATGAATGAATAAATGAATGAATGACTGGATGCATAGATGGATGAGTGGATGAGTGGCTTTCTAAAGCTTTGATGGTAATCTGGGATGGCGTGGCTTGCTGAACCTGGGATGAAGGAAACAAGCCAGTCTTTATAGTATAATATAGTATAGCATAGTACAGATACCCAAGTGATGAATCGAAGACCTTATTGCTGCTGATGGATCTTTTTATTTGTCTTGTTCTTTTATTTCTATTTTTTACTATTGATCGTGCCCAAGGATGATCTGAATTGGATTATGCAACCTTTGATTTCACAGATTGGTTTTATTCTATAAAGCTTGTGAACTATCTTGTTTGTTTTAATTTCATATATTTCTGTTCTCCTCATCGCATCGCTTACACATCGACAATCAACATGGCCCAAGCTCCCCCGAGCTCCACCCCGGCATTTCCCGCACCACAATACAAGCTCACCTCATCAACTCCAAACCTGCGCACGCCGAACCTCAATCCAACTCCTCGCCATGCTCCTCCGCCCTCTTTCCCAACTCAAGAACCCATCTTCTCGCACCCACCTTCGCTGCCTGCGCTGTCTATCAACCGCAACCGAATCATCCGCGACCCATCACAAAGAACAACAACGACAACAACAACATCATGCCCCCACCACCTCCAACCACGTCCAGATCGTCGAAGTCGGCCCGCGCGACGGCCTGCAGAACGAAGAGACCTTAATCCCGCTAACGACGAAGATAGAGCTGATAGAGCGGCTGGCAAAGACGGGCCTACGGGATATAGAAGCGGGCAGCTTCGTGGCGCCGAAATGGGTCCCCCAGGTCTGTTCAATATCTCGCGTCACAAACATACACACCATGGTAGAGAGGATTGGGCTAAGAAAACATCAAGGAGGAAAATAGATGGCCGACTCCTCTGAGATCCTGTCCTATTTACTCAAACACCCCCCGAACACCCTGGACCCGATATCCTATTCCTTCCTTGCGCCCAACGCGAAGGGACTGCAGAACGCGCTGGCGTTACTGAAACAGTACCCGAAAGCCTACCAAACTTTCTCGACGCCCAGCGACCCTTCCAAGGCGGGCGAAACCCCCTCTGCGAACGGCTTGGCCGTCGGCGCAGAAGAGAAGAAGCGCGAAAGGCCGTTCATAGAGATATCCGTATTCGCGGCAGCGACGGAGACGTTCACGCAAAAGAACCTCAACACCGATATCGCGACGTCGCTGCTCCGGTTCCAGGAGGTGATCGCCGGCGCCAAAGGCCAGGGGCTGCGGGTCCGCGCGTACATCTCCGTCGTGCTTGGGTGTCCGTTCGAAGGGTACGACGTCGATCCGCACCGGGTGGCCGAGATGGCGTGCTCGCTGATGGAGATGGGCGCGGACGAGATTGACCTCGGCGACACGACGGGGATGGGCACGGCGCCGCGGACGGCAGCCCTCCTGCGTGCGCTCTCGGCGGCGGGGATCCGGAACGAGGATCTCACGATGCACTTCCACGACACGTACGGTCAGGCGCTGGTCAACACGGCGGTGAGCCTCGAGCACGGCGTGCGGAGGTTCGACAGCTCGGTCGGTGGGCTGGGCGGTTGTCCGTACAGCCCCGGCGCGACGGGGAACGTGAGCACGGAGGACCTGGTCTACTTCATGGAGAGCCTGGGGATGGAGACGGGGGTGGATCTGGACGGGATGGCGGAGATTGGGGCGTGGATTACGGGGGAGATGGGCAAGGCGAATGGTAGTTTGGTTGGAAAGGCAATCTTGGGGAAGAGGAGGAAGGAGAGGGGAGGGGGCGTTTGATCATACAGAATTAGCGGAATGAATAGGTAGCTGGTTATGCATTCGGACAGCGAGATCTTGGCTGCAAGCATCCCGAGATCTAGAAGTCGATTATCTACTTGTATGAGGATGATGTGTAATAAACCTTCAAGCAGCCCTACTGTAGCTCGCGCAGTCCAGAACTTTTCCGAAAGCAGATATATAAGCGAGCCCCTTCAAATGAAAGTCGCGAAGCTTTCTTGGCGAGTTTGCCACAGATAGAGAGCTCTGAATGTGTACCACGGACTACGTCGCAGGCGCAATTGTTACACATTGAGGGGAGGAAAATCAGGAGGTTTAAAATGGAGATTAAGGCTCCCAAAGCATCCTCAGGCTGTAACACTTAGGCCCGTACCGTGGGTATCTCCGTAAGTATAAGTAGCCGGCGCGCCTTACCGGCATCCCCCCGATGCGCTGGCCCGACCAGGGGGTGCGGGCTTGTTTACGGTAGTCGTTTGGCCTCGGTAATTGATCCAATGGCGCGACGACGCTGCAGGTCTCGTTGGATTCGAAAAATGGTCGACATGTTGACACCGGATATGGCATGGATGGAGAATTGTTTTTGGAAAGTGTTTTGATATCTTAGTATATATAGCTCGGTACTGGCAATTTGACGATGTCAGACGTCGGAGATCGACGTCTGACATGGGCTCCGTCCGAGACGAAGCAAGCCCGCGGGAACTATAAACCTACTTACTGTACCTATTCCTGGCTCCCAGGTCTGAGGCTCATCAATCCCTAACTCCCAAGCAAGCAAGCAAGCACTCAGAGAGAAATACGAGGTCGGTAAATAAAGCTTATACGGCGGAAAAGAAATGTACAAGAACACGGGACGGTCCCGATGTCCTCCAGCAACTCCAGGACGAGATCCGACAAGATGCTGCTCCCCATCTCCCTCATCGCGTTGACGCTCTCGGCTCTCCCGACTCTCACCACCGCCACCCCAACCACCACGACAACCGGAACCAGAACAGCACATATCTTTCGTCGCTCCAATTGCACCAACCCGAGCGTGAGGAGAGAATGGCGCAGTCTCCCTCGGGACGAGCAGATCAGCTACGTCGATGCGGTCCTTTGTCTCACGACTAAACCGTCGCGGATCTCCCTGTCGACTCCGCTCTACGACGACTTTGCCTATGTGCACAGTCAGCTCAGCAATGAGAGTGAGCCTTTCCCCCCCCGTGATGGGTGGTCCTCCAACGTGACGGGGTGCTGATGAGAATCCCATTGGAAAAACACAGTCCACTCGGTTGCGTCTTTCTTGCCGTGGCATCGATATTTCCTTCACGTCTACGAAGCCGCGCTGAAAGAATGCGGATACATAGGCAATCTGCCGTAAGTTTCTTCTCTGCTCTCCTCTTCCCTTCTTCGCTTCGTGAGAGAGGCGTCGCGTGGGAATCTTCCACCGGCCCTCATGCATCCACATCCGTGCTCACACCCATTCTCCCTCCACAGGTACTGGGACTGGACCCTCGACAGCTTGTCGCCGTCCACCTCTACCATCTGGGACGCCACCACCGGCTTTGGCGGCGACGGGTCGCCGGACCGCACGGAGCAGGATGGGAACAACACCCGGCGCTGCGTCGCCGACGGACCGTTCCAGGACCTCCGCCCCTCGTACATCACCGATGAGTACAACCCGCACTGTCTCACGCGCACCTGGAACAACGGGACCGAACTGCCGGGCCGCATGCTGGGCGAGTTCTACTCGCCCGAGATGCTGGCCAACGTGCAGGCCAGCGCCGACTATGCCACGTACCGGTTCCAGCTCGAGAGCACGCCCCACGGCGCCGTCCACTCGGGCATCGGGGGTGACATGGTGCCGAGCACGTCGCCCAATGGTACGTGTTGCTGATCTCCCCCCTCTGCCTCTCCCTCTCGCTCTCCCTCTCCCTCTCCCTCTCCCCTCTCCCTCCCTTGCATCTCAAGAAGAAGTTCGGTTCCCCGCTGACTCCGGCCCTCTCCAGACCCGATCTTCTACCTCCACCACGGCCAGGTCGACCACGCCTGGACCCTCTGGCAGAAACGGGATCCCGGCAAGCGGAACACCGAGTACGCCGGGCCCCGGACGCAGGACCAGTTCGACGGCGTGACGCCGCCCGAGGCGAGCCTCGACGACTGGATGCTCATGCGCGGCCTGGCTCCCGATATGCAGGTCCGGGACGCAATGACGACGCAGAACGGGATCTTCTGCTACACGTACTAGGATACGTGAAAACGCCTTTAGTAAATATAGACTTGGGGGGGGGGGGGGGGGGGTTAGTGTA